ATAATGCCTTGGCTCCAGTCACTTTTCCTTTATAATAATGACCTCCTCTGCACACTTCTCCTTTAATACCGTATCTCTGGCTAGTAGATTTCTTAAGGGATGCTATTATTTTTTCATTATGTCTCATTTTGGTGGCATCTACTGTTTCGTGATTTGGTCTAACTCTGCTGGAGGATAGTCATAGACCTATGATAAAACAAATTGCTACAGAGCATGGTCTTTAATGCCACAAGTATTTGGTGGCCTTTTTTCCCTATTGGGTCTTGCCCACATGATTTCCTAGTTATTCCATTCTTAGGGCAACTCATACACTTCTCTCACAACAGCATAAACCCTTGTCCAAGTACACCCCCATGCCCATCATTACCATGAGGCAGGGAGCTCTGTCAAGGTGACTTTGTCTTGCCCTGTATTTCCTTCAGCTGCAACTCAGTCACCCTATAGATCAGCAGGAACTTAAACGTGATTGATGCCACAGTTGTCTTCCCAAAGCCAGGGATTCTGGCTCCCTTTGCATGGTAGGTATACCTTTATTTCCATCTTTGGTAGGTCTATCTTTATTTCCATCTTTGATGATGATATATATGACATCGTCTTATGTCATTAAACCCTGTGTGATCTCTTGTGTCTGGGAATCACAACTCCTAATTCCTATGAGAAATTAGAATCAATATGGACTCATCATTCCCACCCCACTGTATTATAGGAACCTGAGGAAGATTCTCTAACTTTCTTTCAAGAAACATATAAGAGCTGTGTGTCCAAGCCTGGGGTCTTGGTTCTCAACCATTTGTCTTCCATGTAAAATTAGAAGAATCAGAACTTCAAATATCAAACTCATGGCCTGGGTGTGGGGAACTTCCACCCTTATTTCTGTCTCAAGAGGATCGGCTGCGTGTGAATGAATCTTGGAGCCTTCTCATATCTAAAAGACTCTCGAGTTGGAAGGAGGGGAAAGGCCAGGTGAAGTAGTGTTCAGCACAGGGTAGAAGGACCCTTCTCTGGGGTAGGGAGACCGTTTTACAGCTGGATTGTGAATTTCAGTTGGATCAGTGCAATTTAGAGAGCTTCTTTTGTGTGTGTGTGTGTGTGTGTGTGTGTGTGTGTGGTCTGGGCTGGGCTTTATACAGATCAGTTGTTTCAGTTTGGGACATCATTGCTCTGAAAGCGTCATTAGTAACCTCTTCTTCCTTCTTCATTTTCTTCATCAATATCATCCTCACCTCTACCATCACCATTATCACCTTAATCATCAGCGTTGGCATCACCACCACCCTTTACATTAATGAAATATGGTATTATTTTCCCATGTCTTCCCCCTTATTAACTTACTTTCAGAGTTGTCAGAGGAAAAACCTGGGTGATGGGCTAGATAGGATTACATATACTTGTGTTGTACATAAGGAAAACTAAAGCTCAGATTGGTAAGCTTGCTCGCCCAAGACAGGCCCAGGCAAGGATAAAACCTGGCTATCTCTGTTCTCCACGTTATTGGGCTATGACCAAGCTTTCTTAGAGGAAAGAATGGAGACATGAATGACAGGGGGTAGGAAAGTGGGGACCAAGAGGCCTTAGAAAAGGGGGGGGGCTCAGACACACCCTAGTATTATGGGCTGGAGCACGTCACATTCTTGTTGGACTCCGAATTTTACCTGAAGGGCTCCTTCGGGCTGAATAGGATTCCCAGGACTAGAACTCAGAACTTGAGAATTCTGAATTCAGAGTGCAAGAATTCAGCCGAATATTTACCATACACGATGCCATTGCTTCCATCAGACTAAAAAAATGGATGGAGCTGTTGTTGGGTGTTCTTGTGGTTGTGATGGCTGTGTGTGGAGCTGGAAGGTCTAAGCTACAATGGGAAGGATTTGGTACAACATGCTACTTGCAACAAATAAAGGACTATAGGAGCACCATTTGGAAAGCTGAATTCTCCTTTTTCTCTAAACCACTTAGCCCTTCAGAGCCATGAGTCATGTATTTGAGGGAGGGAAGGGGGGGCTAGAGAATTGAATATAATTTATGCTTTGCTAATTGAAATCAAGTATAGCATTCAATCTCCCTGAGAGTTGCCTGGTGCTGGCTTAAATGTGTTATTAGGAAGTGTTATTAACCTGACTCTGTGTTTACAAGTTGACCTGGCTTTTCTGGAGAGAAGATAATTCCTTCATGAAGTCTCTCCACGGAGGGGAGGGCACAGCTTTATGGCTTCCTCCCAGAGTTACAAAGATCCAGGTAGAGTAGATAGTGCAGCTAATAGGCCATATCAGATTGCACCTCTTCTTAGAACTAGGTCACCAAATGGAGAAAAACCTTCAGAACCTCAAGGTCAGGATTCTGCTCCTTTATAATCCAGGAATTAAAACCTACAAGTCAGACCGGGCGCTGGTGGCTCATGCCCGTCATCCTAGCTACTCAGGAGGCTGAGATCTGAGGATCAAGGTTCAAAGCCAACCCAAGCAGGAATGTCTGTGAGACTCTTATCTCTAATAAACCACCAGAACACAGAAGTGGAGCTGTGGCTCAAGTGGTAGAGCGCTGGCCTTAAGCTGAAGAGCTGAGGGACAGTGCCCAGGCCCAGAGTTCCAGCCCCATGACTTACAAAACAAAACAAAAAACCCTACAGGTCGCTGAGTTGTAGTCAGGGCTCAAGCCCCATAATGACAACTCCTTGTTGTCATAAAACAAGGTCCCTTCCTCAGCCAGCCCCATAGGCCATCCCTATGAACAGACAGACATTGTTTTCCTGCAGTTGACTTACCACAGGAAAGGGTGTAGGAATAATTTCTGAAGGAGAATCTCCCCACTTTTATTTCCCAAGTGAACATGGCTGATCGGTCCTATGAAAACTAGATTTGCTTGTCCTATTCATGTATCATGTATGTGAGTACACACACATGTATTAGCTTACTTTGGAAGCTGAACTTGGGGTCTGGATGTCTCGTGTTTGTGGGGACAGGGAGACAGGTAGACAGCCAAGGAGATGAAAAGTGGAGACTAGCTTTGAAAGGAATGGAGCCATTGACACTTAGAGGAGACTTTCCTCCAGCTGTTCTCAATCCTAGAGTGGTGTGTTATTTTGTTTCTTTGGGTTTTTATCTTTGTTTTTGTTTTTAAATAGGGTCTCCCTATGCAGACCAGGCAGTCCTGGAACTTAAGATTCTCCATGTTCAATGTTAGAGGAGTGTTGAGATTACAGGCATGCTCTACCAGGCTTGACTTGAAAGCTAGGTCTTAAACATAATCCACAGATGTCTTCAGTTGTAGCCAGGGCTAACGGCCCACTCTCCTTGCTTTGCTTATAAAACAAGGTCTCACAGTAGCCAGTCCTGCAATAAGCCCTCTGAACAGGAAGACATTCCCTTCCTTTAAACACATGTGCATTTGTAGTTTGATCTCTATCTTCTTTTACTTTGACAGGAAAAGTATACGTGGAGGCTTCGACTCAAGGTTTTCTTATCTGAAGGGGAATTCATCTGCAAGGCTCTTTATGACTGTGGCGTATCAGACTAGCCTGGCAACTCCGGCTGAAACATGGAAACATGTGCTCCTTTCGGATTCTCTGTGCTATTGCAAGAATCACCCACCCTGCAGACAAAATGCTCCAAAGACTCTCAAACCTGTTTTTCCCATCCATCCCAGAGGAAGAACATCGACCAGCTCTCCAGAGTCGGGGTGGAGCCGGGGAACCGGAAGTGACCAATGACAAAGAAGCCATCAAAAACCGATTTATCAGGTTGCATGAAGCTTTATAACAACACGGTGTTCATTGGGCAGGAGAAATGACAGTTTAATTAAACAGCTGAACAGATTTCACTCCCCCTCCCCAACTCATACAAATTTCCAATTTTTTTTTTTTTACTAGAACAATTCCTGGGTTCAGAGATTTATGAGCAAGTGCTTTTATGTCGAATGCTGCATTGAATCCATTCAAACTAATGGGAAAAGATGCTTTATTGGGCAGCCCTTAATGGGGGGCACCTGCACACAGCCCTCCCCAGCATCTGACAAATGGATCAAAGCTCTTGTCAGTGCCCCAACAGAAACTGTCTCTGTATAGACCAAATAAGCCATGAGGTGACCTTGGGGGTGGGTGGGAGTGGGTTGAGGAGGTTTGGGAGGAATAGGAGAAAGGTAAACATTCTCTCCCCTCCACTGTATCCCTACGGTATAGTCAACACAAGAGACAAGGCAGCTCTCTGATCTTTGCTTCTTTAGGGACCTTCATGGTGGTGTATGTGTGTGTATGTATGGGGCAAAAAGTTTCCTCAAAATACACCACCGGATCCTGGGTGCTTGGGGGAGTTGAGGATAAAGTGGGGGGCGGTCTTTCAGTAAAAAGACACGTCCTACTGATTGGATTGGATTTCTTTTTCCTCCACCCTCAGATATGGTTACTTATTTATTTTTGCCAGCCTTGCTGCCCACACTCGACTCTGAGAGCAACCCCATCCCTGTGGGACCTGATCTTCCACAATTGAAGTCACTCCTAAAGACAGGGGAACCTTTTCCCTTCTCACATAGATCTCAGGAAGAAAGCTTCCGGGTGTCCGCTGTTCCCATGTATTTATTTTTATTTCAATTTTGGTGGGGAGTGGTGGGACACGTCTCTGCCTTCCTCTTGTGGGGAGTGAGGAAATTTGGGGGTGCTGGGTGAGAGAGGCCTCCCGGGATGAGAGGGCTGGAAATGTCTTCGATGGAGAACCGTGTGCTTTCTCAGAGTCCTGGAGCTCCTAGCCCCAAATCGCATTCTGGATAAGAAACCCAAGCATTGGCTCATGGGGCAGGTACCTGTGCCAGGTGCAGAGCTAAGAATCTAGCCTCCCCAAATGGAAGTAAGAACCCCTCCAGCAAGGAGCTCTCCCTTTCCTTGTCGATGCTCACCATACAAACTCTGGTGGCATCCGGCATCCTCCTCTGACTTTGACAGACCTTTGCCTTATCTTGGTTCTCTTACTAACCAATAAATAGAAGGCAAGAATTCATGGTGGGTTCTCGGGCATCTGGTCAACCACAGACAGCTGGCTGTCCAGGCTGGTCTGGTTCCTCTATGGGAGGGCCACGGATCCCATCTTTTTGCCTAAGCCCTCAGTGCTGGAGGGATCCTGACAGGGAGGCGACCTGCTGCCCTCCCCACTCCCACCCCAAAAGGCTGACCTGCCATCAGACCCTGGAGGGGGGGCTGGGGTGGGAGGAGGCAACCCAGGACTCAGGTACAGAGCCTTCTTGCCATCTGACTCTGCAGCGGGCTCATTTGTCACCCTCTTCCTGTTCCCACTGGAAGTCTTGCCCGGTCATTTGGTAGAACATCCTGTTGAAGGGTTTGTAGAACTTTCTCAGTCTGTGGATGACGTCGGGGTCGATGCGGGGGTGAGTCCGCCCTTTGCTTTTGCCCAAACACCGGGGCGCACCGCTGTCTTCTGGCTTCTTGAGGCACGGGAACCCCTTGGTTTTGTTGAAATAGAAATGTTTCTCGGTCACCACACGCTTGAGGCCGAGGAAGTCTTGGACTTTGGCCATCTCCCCAGCGGGGTCCACGATGAGGCGCTCCCCGCTGACGAAGAGGATCTGGGAGAGGGGGAAGTACTGGAGCCAGTTCTCCAGGTGCAAGGCGTAAATCCCGATGCGGATGGCGCTCCAGGAGGCGTCGATCAGCCCCAGAGTCCGGTTTTTAAAGGCCAGCACCTCAAAGGTGGGGATCTCGGGTTTCTTGGACAGCGTCTGAGTATAGTCAGAAATGGCCCTGGTCACGGGGTTCCTCACCACCACGATCAGTTTGATGTCTTTGGCCATCGAATGAATGCGCCTGGGCGCTTCGTTGGTCACGAAGTAACTTGGAGTCTTCTCCATGGTTAGCTGCCCTTCCACGGTCTTGGGCATCACGTTTCTGGGAAAGGGGAGGACAAAGCCAGCAGAACATGGTTATTACCACCCTGGAATCATTGAATAGGTTTGTGCACACAGGCTTGCGTCCGAGACCTGAGGATCGCAATTAGAAGCCAGCCCTTGAAGGAAACTTCATGAGACTCTTATCTCCAGTTAACCAGGAGAAAGCTGGAAGTGGAACTGTGTTTGGCTCAAGGGGTAGAGTACTAACCTTGAGCAAAATAACTAAGAGACAGACCCCAGGCTCTGAGTTCAAGCCCCAGGGCTCACTCTCTCTCTCTGACTCTCCCTCTCCCTCTCCCTCTCTCCTCCTCCCCACACAGTAACTAACCTCAGGGAGCCCGCAAAATTGATAAACACATGGGGTTTCTTTTAATCTGTAATTCCACATATAGTTCTAAGTGATTATCAGAAAAAACTAGCAGATGACTTATTCTTTCTTGAGACCCTTCTATGCCTGAGTTTAAATTGCTTTTCTACCTCTTACTAGTTATGTTTACCTTAGATACACCCCCTAATTTCTCTACTATTAGTTTTATAATCTCTGAAATGGAGATAATGATATCCCTGACTTCACACGGGCAATGTAAGGATTAAGGGAGATAATTCTGGGAAGCATTTAGCAGAGAGTCTGGCATGTTCAAGGGCTTAATAAATTAAAGATCTTATTGTTGCCGTGGCTTTTAGAAAACGTTAGAGCGCAACAACACCTCCAAGATTATCTAGTCTAGGGTTGGTGAATTCCCGCCCATCTCCTACTTTTTTATTTGTGTGTGTTTGTGTGTGTTTTGTATGACTCAGAGCAAAGAAGGATTTGTAATGTTTAAGTGGTTAGAAAAAGAAAAATCCCCAAATAACAATAATAATAATAATAATAATAATAACCTGGTGTGATGAAAATTATAGAGATTCACATTGAAATGCTCACAAATAAACCTGTGTTGGGGAAAACCATAGACACTCTTTTATTTATGTGTTATCTATAATTGTTTTTACGCCATGAAAACGGGCAGACGAGGTAAGACAGATACCATATGCCCCCGAGACCTAATGCATTCACAGCTGGCCCTTTAAGGAAATGTTTCGCTGACCTCTGAGTTTAATCCAATGACATTTATTGTATCAATGACTCACTGAAGTCCAGGAGCAATGAAAGAAATCAAACAGGTCTTTGTGAACCCAGCCAGTTGAATCGTGTCTCCATGCCTCATCTCCATCTGTAAGATCCTAAAATGTACCTCGAGTTCAATGGAGAATAAAATGACATGTATAGAGAAAGAGCATCTAGCCATAGGCCTGGTTCAAACTATGAGATTTCTCCACAGTATCTTGGATCTCATATTTTACCCAGGGGACCACTAAAAGATCCCGTTCCCAACACCCACGAGCTAAAAGCCTCTGGTGTTCCTGGGAGGTGGCGGAATCTTTAAGAGGCGTGGCCTGTGGGAGGAAGTTGGGCTATTGGGGGTGTGCCATTAGGGGAAATATTGAAATGTCAGCCCTTGCCTTTTTCTCTTGCTTTCATTTCCTGACAGTGGAATAAACATCAGTCTAGCCAGCATCTAAGGAAAACACCCATGTCTTAAGTTCTGTGTCCGTGGGAGGAGTTAGTCCCTTATTTTCCTTTGGATCTCTTCTATGCATGGGCTTCCTTTACCACCTTGCTGCAGGTCTAAAAGCAAGGGTGCCTAGTAATCAAGGACTGAAAATGGTTAAACCATCAGCTGTAATGAACTTTTCCTCCTAAGATGGCTATCTCAGTGTTGGTTACAGTAGCACCAAGGTGATTAACAAAGCCCACATCTCTTGCATCCTTTGACAAGCGTACTTTTCTTCCCTCCATCTCCTTCTGTTTTCAAAGTACCCTTAGCATATTCTGGAGCTCTGGGATCCCTCACTGTTCCCCCCAAATCCTAATGAATGAGGTGGGAGTATCCATGATAAAAAGAAGCTTAGGGTACTACTATGTATCCAATTTGCTGTAGGCCTATGTAGACCAGAGTTAATTGATGATAAACCCGTTCAATACCTGTCAGGGCAGCAGCCATCTGCCACCAGGTGCGCTATTAAATCTATTCACTCCGGAGCCTCACACCAAAGAGGAACATTTAGGATTACATAAGACCTCTTTGTTAGGATGACATGCTTTTAAATGTCTCAGCTAATAAAACGTAATACACATAAAGATCCCCCAAGCTTCTTCTCCTATAATTAAATTTATTTACTATCATGTGTATGTGTGGGGGGACAAAGAATGACTTTTCTTTTATCTCCAATTCACATACTCTGTCAATAATTAATTGCTGCTGGGTTTTGAGCTTCTGCAGCAAGCTCTTTTATTAAGCAAGAGGAATTTTCCTGGTAGAGAAAATTCATGAGAGCTGGAAGTTGTTAAGAGTATAATGGTTGGGTAGCATGGATTCCAGCCATATCCCTGGCCAAAAATAACCATACTTGCCAGGGAATGACTTATTCTCCTAAGTATTTCCAATGTTTTTGGGTATGTGCGCCTACTTTTTGTTGTTGTTGTTGGTTGGTTGGCTTGTGCAGGTACTGGAGCTTGAACTCAGGACCTCATGCTTTCCTTTGTTTTTTTCGTGCAAGGTTCTACCACTTGAGCAGGCAACATTTCTACTTCCATCTCTTTTTTTTCCCTGGTAAATTGGAGATAAGAGTCCCAAAGGACTCTTCTGCTCAGGCTGGCTTGGAACCATGATCCTCAGATCTCAGCATCCTCAACCCCTGGGATTACAGGGGTGAGTCACCAGCACCTAGCTTATGTGTGCTTGTTTGGCCCTTAGTAAATCTAATGGTCTCGATTGAAGGATCTCATTGGTTACCAAAACAACAACAACAACAAAACAAAAAACCCACAGCCTTGAGGGATCAGCTCTAACTGACCTAGGAACCCTGCATGCTCATTTCATGTCACCATAGTGAAGTTACTGAGAGAGAGAGAGAGAGAGAGACAGACAGACAGACAGACAGAGAAAGAGACACACAGAGAGAGACAGAGAGACAGAGACAGAGAGAGACAGAGACAGAGAGATAGGCAGACAGAGACAGAGAGACAGAGAATTTCCCTGTGCGGTCTTCTTAACCAAGCCAGAAATGATATAATCATTCCCACATACATTCCATTAACTCAGGCACGTGAGTCTCAATTTCTTGCCCTGGAAACAAGGTAGACCTAATAAGATCCTATCTTCCCAGAACTAGAAGGATACAAATGTGATTATGTAGGTGTGTCTAGAAGGATACAAATGTGATTATGTAGGTGTGTCACTGAAGGTTTTTGCCTGATGGATACCAGAATCTGTCTTCCGTTAAGCTTGCTGCTGAGGATCATCTTCACTGGTTCTGACATTTCCACCTGTCCACATTCTCACATTGTGATGTGCGTGAGGAACAAGATAAAGGTCAGAATGCTGAGGGAAAGAAGTCAAGAACCAGAAAATAAAGTCAGGAAGAGTAGGTAGAAACCATGAACCAAGTAGGCTGTGGGAAGGACACGGATTTTTCCCCCCTCTATGTGAAGAATATTGAACAAAGGAGTATGATAGGATGTATAGTTATTTTTCCGTTTTTTTCCTGGCTACATTGCTGGGGGACAGAGGAGAATTCCAAGAAGGGAAGGAAGCAGTCTGCTTTCAGAGATGATCTCAGGGCTGTACACTGTAAATGCTGGTGGCCTGGGTATAAATGGGGTGGTGGCATGGTCAGAAGTGTTCCCAATGGAGTCACTAACAACAACAACAACAAAAAACATAAGCCAGGAGCTGGTGTCTCACACCTGTAATCCTAGCTACTCAAGAGGCTGAGACCTAAGGATTGTGGTTCGAAGCCAGCCCAGGCAGGAAACTCTGTGAAACTCCTATCTCCAGTAAACTACTCAAAAAAGCTGGAAGTGGCATCGTGGCTCAAGTGGTAGAGCAATTGTCCTGAGTACAAACAAAGCTCAGGGACAAGGTGGGGAGAGTTCTTTCAAGTAGAAAGGTGTTTAGATGCTGAGTGTACTAACATCATCATCATTATTATTATTAGCATGTAGACGTATGAAGGAGTTGCCTTTGAACAAAGCTGTTTATGAATACAATCTATCTTGATCAATGTCACCCCTTTCAATATTCTCACCCATTCCGCCCCTTCCTCTACTCTTCCTAATTTTGTAGGATAATGCATTGGATTCCCTTTTTTTTCTTTTAATTTCTTCACAAAGGTTTTTATAGACCCCCTTTATCAATTGTTTGTGCAATTATTATTTCTCTTTTCTGTGCAATACTGGGAAATGAACTCAGGGAACTCAGTAACTCTCAAATGTGAGGCAAAAAGTCTGCACTGAGATATTAACCTCCCTTCCTCCCCCACCCCCACCTCCCCACCCCCGTCAGCAAACACCCAGCCCCTCACCAACTCAAGTTAATCCCCAGAGTTCTTGAGAACTAATTATATTTGTGTGTGTGTGTGTGTGTGTGTGTGTGTGTGTGTGTGTGTGTTGGTCCTGGAGCTTGAACTTCCCTGTCCCTGAGCTTTTGTGCTCAAGGCTAGCGCTCTACCACTTGAGCCACACAGCTCGACTTCTAGCTTTTTGGTGGTTCCTTGGAGATAAGAGTCTCAAGCACTGTCCTGCCCAGGCTGGCTTTGAACCATAATCCCTTATTAGCTAGGATTACAGGTGTGAGCCATCAATGCTCAGCCAAGAACTACTTGTATGACAGAGCTTTTAATAACGATCATAACATAGACTGGCAGAAGGGAGCCACTGGGGTTTGGTCCCTTCGCAATTTGGCATTGCGAAATAGGGAGATAAACAAAGTGAAAGAAAAAAGAGTAATGCCATACAATGATTTGTCCTCACACTCTGATTGGCTACAATCAGTGCTCGAGGGCCTAGGTAGCTTTTAAACCACCTTAGCATTCCTCGGGCCTAGCGTGGCACCTGCCACATTGTGCTGTTCCATTCCTACTTGTAGTTACTTGATGGATGAGTGAATGGGCCAA